TCTACAGGTAAATAGAAGATATGAATTGACTAATTGTTACTACATATGCCTAAACAAGTTTTGTAAGTAAGAATTGGTTGAGTCTTACTGAATTTGTCTGACCAAATCTAGCAAATGCAAGATAGATAGTGTTTAAATTGTCCTACATTTACCTGAATAGGTTTCATAATTATAAGATGAAGATTGACAGACTTTTATCATATTTGGCTGAACAACAGACGGCTGTTAGTTAGATGAAGAAGGGGTTTGATGGTTTAACCTCATTTGGTTATTTCACATTACTGGATTTCCAAATAGATCAGTAAATTTATATAACTCTTGGGTTTTTGCTGGAGGTGAAACCCTTTAGAATGATTTGTATTCTTTATAAAAATATTAAGCGTCTGCAATTCTTCAGATAGCGACAGGAGAACTTAAGAACCCAAGTAGATATGATTCTGTATTGTAAATGAGTCAAGATGGATTATATATGCTAAGATTCATTTCAGCCTCTATTACATCATGGTGTTGTCATGTTCCAATGGTATAAAGATGAATATAGTAGATAGCCAAACATATTGTATGTATACTTGTGACTGCAACTTCTAGAGGGTATGAATTATGGCCATAGTATAGCAGCCGCTTCGAATCTTGACAATTGTATTGGGCATTACATTGTAGATGAATAATAGAAGTGTTCCGAGATGTTTAAACAAAACACTTCAGAAGACTGATTATTGGGGGATTGTTCTTAGAATACAATTGCATTTATGTCCAGATGTGCAAGCTTTCTCACTCATCATCATTTACACCAAACCACCACCACCAAGACTACCACCAACACAAACCCCCAAACCCCAACACCACCAACACCATCACTATCACCACCATACCACCACCACACCAACACTACCACACCATCACCACCACACCACCATCACCACCATACCAACACCACAATACCATTACCATCACCACCACTAATATCACCAAAATCATAAGGATCTTCTTTGCAGGAAACAAGTGGATGGTATAGTGAAACTATTAAGAAGTTCCAATCACCACATCTACAACCGCGTAGTATATGGAGGCATGCTCCTAGCATTCATCTCCATTGCAATCTTCTTACTGTTCTGGTATTACCTTGGATGATGAGCCTGATTATTTACTATAATTTTATGTGACTAGTTTAATGACAGAGGCACTTTTTATTATATTCTGGGACTGAAAGCGACAAAAGCTATTTTCATTCCTCATGATTTTTTAAGGGAACAGATGTGTCAGTGAAGAAATGATTGCAATATCTGTTTAAATTTTGATGGCGAGTTTTTAAAAAGATTGACCTATTTCATGATTATTTTATGAGGACTGGTTCAGTCATACTCACTTATACAGTGTAAGTGACTTGAGGATAAGTTTACTTAAGTGTGAATTTAGCATATTAATCTACCAATGAATGTGAATGAAGATCCGGACTGCAACTACTTCATTTTTTTTGCAAATTTACTTCTTTATTTTATGTAAATTTCATGTTCACAGACTAGAGGATTCTTTTTTTTGCATTACCTTCTGTTCAGAAACCCATATTTACATTATTGATGCAATTTTATTTGAATATATTTTGTACTTCTAATATTCATAGATTTTTAAAGTAAATGGTAAATGTTCTAAAATGCATTTGTTTTTTCTTCTTGAATACATTGTCCATGTTCATATTTAATACAGATGTGTATATGTGAAAAATATTGTTGTGACGTAATGAACATGCTGCAAGGCTGTGAATCTTTCGAATAATCAATGTCTTGTATAGTGTATGTATGTCAAAATATTATTTTTAAAAAGGTTCTCTTTCTATGTATAAGATTGTATGTTCTTATAGTAATTATGTTGATGCACAACTAGTTGTATTTTTAAACAGTGTATTTTTTCATATTACAAATTTACATATCAGCATAGAAAAGGAAAATCCATTTGGCATTTTGAAGTGCAATATTCTCTTGTTTTTCTGTTGTATATGCATGTGTATGTGTCAAAGCAACATTTATTAATCAACAAGGATAAAAGTGCGATATGTAGTCCCAAGGAAAAGCTAAATTGGTTGTTATAGTGTGGAGTCTGCTAAATTTACTTTTTTTCTGTCATATTTTGGTCTCCAACTACCTTTAATTGTATATTCTTTTCTGGGTATTTTAGATAAGCATATATATTTTTATTGCAAGATCTGTTGTACATTTTGAGTCAGATTTGACTTATGAGGCAGATGTACATTCTTTTTAGCATTTTCTATTTTTAAAAATAGCTTGCTTAGTTATATTTTACATAATCGACATTTTCAACTTTTAGTATGGACTAGCTCAGAAAGTTGTTAAATTAGTATCATTGTTTTATAGCTACTATTATCTCAAAGCTAATAAAACAGAGGATTTATTCTGCAGTTTTTAATTCATCCCTTCAGCATTAAATATTTTTATCTTTTACATTCATATTTAATGAAGTCATAGATAGTTGTTCCACAGTGTACCTTGTTAAGTGTAAAGGTTTGATGAAGTGTAAGGTTATTTTGGAAAGCCTTCAGAGAGGCACCAAATTTGTCTTTGATATAATTTATCTTCTAAAATGACTGGGTGATTCTGTAAAGTGATGATGCATTGATAATGGCAAGATATTTACTGAAAAACTAAAGTGATGAAAGAAATAGTAATAAAAACATTTATAACACTACAATTATAACAATTGTCATAAAATGATGCCAGTAATTCTAATAGTGACAGTTAACTTACGATGGCAATGTTGTTGAATAAAGTAATGATATTAACCCACTGATGCCAGCATTTCAAAAATACTTGACATGTCTGCTGTGATTCTAGTTAATTAATTGTGTTTATACATAGATGGCTCCACAAGCGCTTTGTCACAAAAAAGTCGATCATTAGTCCTACATATCTTACCTATTTATCCATTTTCTTGATTTCCAAATTCTTATTTCTTATTCTTTTCTGCTATTAATATTGTTAATTACACTTTAATAATCATACTGTTGATAATGATAATAACATATATTTCATTAGTATTAGAAAAAAAAATCCGAAACCCAAAGAATGGGGCAATCAGATGAGGTTATAGTGGCCTACTAATTGGCCCTTTGGTGGCCGAGCACTTGTGGAGCCGTATATGTGTAAACAAATTCACAAAACAAAACTACAGTGTACAGTACGTGTATTTGGCACCAATGGGTTAATAACAGGAATACTAATTATACCAACTATTTTAAGAATCAAAATTCCAAAGCTTAACAGACATGAGCATGAGATTGAATCTAGAATTTTAATAGCTTTATTTGAGATAATATCCAGTTTTGATAGTCACTAGATAGTTTTATATATTTGATGAAATTCTATAATGTGAATTTATCCAAAAGTACCTGAGGGAGGAATTTTAGCATTGATTTTGATTGATAATGAATTACTGAATAAATTAGATACAGATATGACTATTTCTTTAGGCATTTTTTCTGCAAAATGTGTAGTGTTCCTTAAAAAGAAATCTATAGTGTCAGCTATTGAAAGAAAAGAAAACTGTCTGCTTGTTCAAAAAAAAAAAGAAAAAAAAAAGAAAAAAAAACTGCTATACACTCAATGAACCCATCAGCAACGGGTAAAAATTTTGTCAAGTTTACGTATGCGCCGGGTTGTTGGCGCGCACTGNGGTCCACAACAGCCATGGTATGTACGTACGTGACACCCGGCGCCAATGGGTTAAAATCAAATTTGAATTTTGCCTTCAATGTATTTATGTTATTCAAAAGTTCCCCCTCCCCAAATAAAAAAAAGTTTGATGATTAATTTATTTACAGCATTTTTCTGTTGCCTAATATGACAATTTTTTAATAATTTTTTATGCCAGCTGCTTTGATTATGCTTGTCCATTAACCAGATTTCAATTTAAATGTAATTTTTTTTCATAATTTATGCAAAAATAGTATAAATGAATAAGTTTATATCTCACAAAGTATAGTTCTGTTGAGTGAAAATATATCAGTTATGATATTACTAAAAACATAAGAAATACAATAGGATACCTTTGCACACCAATATAAGGGCATATCTTAATGCCAAATTCTTCAGGATGCATTTCAGACCTACATGGCTTTCTCTAGAAGGATTTCTGTACATTCAGATTTACGTTGCTGTGGATGAGAACAACCTTGAACGCTTTATGAATAACTGTACAATACCTTGAACACATTTACAAAAACAGCAACTCTTCCTTTTATCATGACAAAATACTTTTTCCGAGGCTGCTGCTGATGAAAAAAAATCTGACATTTTGCATATGATGAATCACGTATTGCAGTTTTCTTAGTATTTTTTTTGCTTTTTGGGTACATGATACCTTCCACTGGCAAACTATCATGACTAGACAAACTCAAAAAATTAAAACTGAACTTACAGTAGATGTGGAATTCATGTGGAATTCATGCTGAACAAATTGCAACAGGGACAAAGGGAGATATCTGTGAGATATGTAAATTCTATGCAAAGCGGAGGTGTAGAAAAACTCAGATATGGTACTTCTTATATGATAAAAGCTCTTTCATGCAAATCAGGTCTTTGATTTGTTCATCTAGTAATACAAAGCTTGTATGTGAATATTTTAGCTCTGCTATCAAAATTCTAAGTTTGGCATGAGCTTCTATCTCTTATTCTGGAGCTATATTCTTTCCAAATATACTTTGTAGCTTTGTTAAAACTATTACAAAATCTGGTTTTCATGTTTTCTTTTGTGGTTGATTACTTGATATCATTTTTCATACCATCTTACAGTAGAGAATGAGTTATTATTCTGTACATTATACTATCATATATTTAAATATCCATAAAACAGTTGGAAATATATGCTGTTCTGCAGAAATATTTGCAATGAACTTTTACTTTCATATTCATCTTTGAGGACAGGTCTTCGTAACAGTGCTTATGAACAAATTATCAGCAGACTCTCTATTCAGATTACTTGAGAATGATGAACTGTGAACTCTTTCTTCATCAATACACAAAGTTAATTCATGAATGAAACAAAAGGTATTAATATCATTCAGGTTTATTTTTTACAGGATTTGTTTTATTATCAGAAATACACCATAAATTATAGGAAATAGTATAGATAAATATTCCTTTGATGAAGGTATGGAGTTAAAATTAAGACTGATCTCACTAACCTTTCTTGAGGCACCTAAATCAAAATCATTTTTCAATACAATCTCATTAATCTAACACAGGAAATACTTTACGAATTGCAAAAGGAACAACCTACTGATACAAAATGATTTGATTATCCCACAATCCTATGTAGTTCAAGTTTACTTTTTAGACTGAACTTATAATACAACATAATACAACATGAAACTTAAAACAAATATTACACATACCAAATAGCAATATAAACCTGATAAATTGTTATTTATTAAGAGGTCACCATGAATTCCTGCACATAAGTTTGCTACCTGTGCCAGTTCGTTTCATATATACATCCCAAAAACAAATAAACATAAAAAATAATCATGTATATATAATTTCATTTCAGTTTTACAACACACCTCATGAGACTATGTGAGCACAAACAACCATTTTTTTTTTACTAAGTAGCAAAAAAAATATATAATTTATATACGATTACTTATATCTCATTTCTACAATCAAGCCCATGAGACTGCTTGACTTCTAGTGTAAAATTACGATCCCTTAGGTACTATCCTGCAATGTCTTTTCTTCGAGTTTTACCTTTTCCCCGGGTTTAAAAGCAGGCATGCCAAGGTAAGGGCAGGAAGCACACCTAAAAGCATCCCCGAGATAACAGCTCCCACACGATGATTTAAAGTCCTTCTTCGTTGCTTCCTTGTTCTTCATATCTTCGGCATCGAGCTCCTCTTTCAGTCCACACACGCAATTTTTGCAGGCCTTCCGTTTCCCGGTTGTCCCACAAACCTTTAAGCTCGTTGGGTCTGGTCGAATCAAGTCTTCCTCTGTTAACAAGTCATCAGGATCAGCCAAGTCTACATCATCGTCATTTAGGTCAATGTTCCAAGTATTTGCTGGAGCCTTTGCTGCTGGCTTTGCAAAGGAGAGTTTCATGGCAGACCCAACTTCAAAGTCTGGCTTTAAACACGTGACCTCAAAAACAGGCACTGTAACATCTCTCTTCTGCTCGTCTGTGAGGTTGGCATTTCTTGGTTCAGACACTGAGGTAAAACCACCGAGTTTTAAATTTGACTGTGTGCTGGCAGCATCTGTTGTTCTCATGGTTAAGGAACCCTTAGGTTTCAGGGTACGCAAGACTTCCCCCAAAAGGTCTACTGGACATTGGAAAGTGAATGGCGGAAGAACTCCTACTAACACATGGTCAAACGAACTTGCAGTGTGATTGGAACTTGTTAACATATCAGCATTTTCAACAGCTACTTTTCCTTCGTCTCCAACAGTAGACTGAAAGAATACAGTTATTCAATACAACTTCAGATTCATAAATAAAGATGAATAATGATTTCATAAGACATATCAAATAGAAAACAAAATGAATAATCAATACTGTAACTCTCTTCTCTAAAGAGAGTGTGGTCTACATGCAATTTATAATAATACTCTTTCTCCCTCTCTCTCTTGCTATATACACATTTATATTCATAGAGTCTCGATAATTTTGAAGGAAATCATGCCAAACCTACATAAAACATCTATATCACATTGGAATCTGTACCGTCCATACATAAAACAGTCATTATATAGACTATGGAAGTTTAATATAAAATTGAAATAAAGGAACACCCTGAACTACTAGACACACCTTCAGGTCTCCAACAAACGTCTGCAATTCCTCTGCATTCACAGGCGAACTCCAGACCATGAGCACATGTTGACTGGCCTTTATTCCGAACATCTTGCTGCAACTAAAAACAGAAAATATTAGTGTTTTATATAAATTAGATACCCTTAATCCAGAGCATCTAATGAACACGTAATGAAGTGTCTGGTATGCATCATATGGACTAATGGTTTTTTCCCTTGCGTAATAAAAATATAAATGTGGTATAGGTACAAATACAAAACTACTTCTAATATAAAGGGAGTACTGTTAGTTTCGCATTCACATTTTAGCATCAACTTTGGTAATGAGCTTGAAACACTTTCCATGAAGATCTGTTCTTGCAACTAAATATCCTGTATGTGTATTAATTTAAGCTATGAGACTTAACTTTCATAAAACCATAAAAATAGAACACCCAATACAACTCTACCATGATCTCAGTTTGATATTAGAACTATGCCAAGTTTACATTCATTCATCACTGGGATATTCTCTCATGTATCGCTTATCACTGGCTACTCTATCATGTATTGCCAAGTGTATGAGATACTTTCTGCAAACTATTTTGAACGAGTTACTTGTTATTTATGTTATTTGGATTACAGTATAGTTACATTGCTTTATACAATTCATATAAACTATGGCAGGAGAGCATAAGCTTGA